TGGAGGATTTGAACGACGCATTTGGGGGAGTTCTGAACCTATGGTTATTCTGGGACTTTCTGCCTTCTAGGGAGTTCTAACCATCATCACGCTTTACTGAGAACAGCTGGCATTGGTGTGGGTTTCTTAGGTGCGGGTTACCAATGCTGTATTTCGTTTAGCATTTATTTAAGTTCATCTTTTTGCATAAGTATCACTGCTGTCTCTTGGGTTGTCATCTTTTCAGGGACAAGGCTGCTCAGAGAGACAATGAAGAAGAAACTGCTGACGATCCTCGGAAACTTAAACCTGGAGAAATTGACCCAAATCCAGAAACGAAACCAGCCAGGCCAGATCCCATCGATATGGATGAGGGTATGCTAGAGGAAATGTTTTGGGAACTTGGCTCACTTTCCCATCTTCACTTGTCTGCTGCTCTTGTGTGCCCTGCAAGTTTTGCTTACTCATTTTCCAGATTTATGTGTTTCTTTTCAGTCATTCAGTTAATGGCATAGCACTCTTCTTCCCCTGAGAGGTGTTGAACATTCCCCTTTTTACTTCATGATCTACCATCCCACAGCTTTCTGTATGATAGTCACATTTGTTAAGTTGTGCAGTGTTTACTGCAGTTCAACACTCTGACTTTCTGCATGTTACTGACATAATGCGGGGGGGGGGCAACCTAGCAGGAATTGATCTTCCTCCAAAATACTACCATCGAGGAGAACATGAGATGATTTTTCAGTACAGTAATAAAAGTCCTTACAGATCTTAAGAATTTTATTCTTTAATGGTATAAGTGAGCGTTTGTAATTCTGTTCTTGTCAACAGAATCAGCTTTTTGAAAAGATACTGCATTGGGTCCAGCGATCTCCCAGCAGAAGAGAGTGCAGATTTTAGGGAGCCAGTTTGGTGTAGTGGTTAGGAGTGTGGACTCTAATCTGGGAGAACTGGGTTTGATTCCCCACTCCTCCGCATGAAGCCAGCTGGGTGATCTTGGGTCAGTTACAAGTTCTTTCAGAGCTGTTCTCTCAGAGGACAGTTCTCAAAAGAGCCCTCTCAGCCCCACCGACTGAGGGTGTCTGTTGTGGGGGGAGGGAAAGGAGATTGTAAGCCGCTCTGAGACTCTGAGTGAAGGGCGGGGTATAAATCCTCCTCAGCATTCTTTCTGATCCCAGGAAAGGCGCTTCTCAGGATCACATCATCCATGTGGGGAAGCCACCACATGGATTGGAGGGGTGCAATAAAGAGGGGGGAAAGGCAAAATTACCTTCCTGTTCCCCAACCACATAATGGAATAATGGGGAGGAGTGATTTTGCTCCCTCCCCCTTCTTTAGAGCAGCTCCCCAGAAAAAAACGGCTGTTTTTCTTATGGGTCCGGCAGCCCCAGAAATCAGCTTTGCGCATACAGTCAAAAGGGACTGTGGGGCAGAGGGGAATGTGTCAAAAATCTGCAGCTGCTTACACCCTCTGCTGATGGAGTGCCAGATTCAAGCAAGATACACCCACAGTTTTTTAATACTCTTTTTCTCTTTATTTGTCTCCTGCCGCCAGCTGTCAATGAGCAAGTGTTAATTTTCTACATTACTCTTGCAGATGAACTTGAGATGCTTTCTGAAGCAAGAGCCCGTCTGGCTAACACTCAGGGGAAGAAAGCCAAAAGGAAAGCAAGAGAGAAGCAGTTAGAAGAAGCCCGGTAGGCATGGCTTCTCTCATGATACGTCTGCTTTTCTTGTCTGTTTTGCTGTTGGTCTCATCTGGAGGTGCTGTGGGTCTTGTCTTTTCCCCAATGCTCTTCCAAAGTTTTTTTGGTAGTTGGATTTCTCAAATACATGATGTTCAAACAACAGTACCCTCTGCAGCCTACTGACCTGGGCAATAGCTCCCTTACTCTGAACTGCCTGCTTGGCTGCCGTGGCTACGTGGATTAACAGTTTAGTCCAGGGGTGTCAAACATGCGGCCCGGGGGCCAGATGAGGCCCCCAGAGGGCTTCTGTCAGGCCCGCAAGGGACTGGCTTTCTCCTACATCTTCCTCCAGTTCTGCTGCTGCTGCGTCATGGCTTGCTTTCCCAGACTCTCTCAATCGCTCAGGAGAGATAGATAGGCAAGCTTCTGCTTCCTGCACTGGGCTGAGGCTCCTTCCCCTCCCCCTCCCAGATTGCAACGGCACAGACATTTTGATGCAGTAATTCAGAGCAAGAAGTGTCAGTTGAGTGTTAAATAAACGAAATATTGCAAGAATGTTAATGTTTCAGGTATGTTTTTTATTTTAAGTTAAAAAAATCTTTGTGTTTGTGTCCTTTATAAAGTTTATATCTCTGCTACCTGGCATTACATTTTATGACACGCATGTCCCGGCCCGACAAAATCCAATGTACGTCAAATCCGGCCCTCCATAACAAATGAGTTCGACACCCCTGGTTTGGTCCAAACTCTCCCTTTTCCCCTCTACTCTCAGAGGACAGCAACGAGACTCGGAAGAGGATGTCTGCTTCAGCAGAGTGACAATGTTTTCATCACCCTTCCCTTTATTCTTTACCTTTGCTTAAAAAAATGGGGATGGGTCCAAGTCGCCAGTTGATCTAGGATGAACCCAGAACAGATGATACAGCAGCCGAGATTCAGACTGGTTTGGGCAGTGAAGCCCATGGGATAGCCTGGGGGGGGGGGAAATGTCTGTCTGTCAGCCCAGCTTGTCTTCCATCGCCAGTTGGAAGGCAAAAACGCTACAGTGTGCTGGAAGACTGTGGTTTTCAAATGTGACAAACAAGAAGTCATCAATACATTACTTCCAAAACATAGATTGGTTTGATTGGTTTCTGAAGTTTCCAGGCACTCTTCAGTTGTCCTTCCATCTTGAGGAAAATGACTACAAGAAAGGGTGATTAGTCAGAGTGATGTAGAGAAGCCAGAAAAAAACATCTGCCCCAAAGTCGGTAAGACTAAAGATATGAAGAAAATACGTCTCATGAGAAGAATGTGTGAACTGTCATTAGTCAGGACATCTGCCCCACTCAACATCTGCAGCAGCAGTAAAACCAAGCATGTATTTGACACTTTGCATTAAACACTTTTGAGCCCTGAACTAAAATTGATGTCTTGTGCTGTGCTTAGTATAATTGAATATTTCTGCGGGACTAAAATTTGTCAGTCTGGACTCTGTGTTTTAACATGGAAAAAACTTTAGCAGCATCTCCTCTAAAAGCAGTCTATATTTGGTAACCAGAAACGTTCATTGGGAAAAAATTGAGTTAATTTATGTCTCCTTTCTTAGGCGCCTGGCCGCTCTCCAGAAGAGGAGGGAACTCCGAGCTGCGGGGATTGAAATCCAGAAGAAAAGGAAAAAGAAAAGGGGAGTTGACTATAACGCCGAGATCCCGTTTGAAAAGAAGCCCGCTTTAGGTTTTTATGACACATCGGAATGTCTGTGTAATGTTCTCACCAAAGTACACCTTACTGTGTGATAAACCAATTACCTATGATCTCTTGTTAATTCTTGTTAGAATCCACAAGAGCCTGTAAGCATGCACCCCCAACCTTTCCCATCAGCAGTGGAGAGAAAATGATTAAAATCTACAGTTAGTATATATTGACTGTGAACTCAGGAGGGACCAGTCAGTAAAGAAACTTACATCCGCATCAGTAATGTAACTCTGTCACATTACTAGTTTTTGAATCCCTTCTTCTGCTTCACGATGCCTTGTTCCTTCTGCCTTTCAACTTTACCAGTCCTTGTCATAGGGAAAATCCATATTTGTGAGATGCTGAAGCTATAAAAGAAGAGTATTTTACATGTAGAAAAATTCAGGTGGGGCTGGAATTCAGCTGAACATTCTTGAGACATGTTTCTTTTCTGAGACCTGTGCTTGTTAACACTTTAAAAAACATAGAATCATAGGATCACAGAGCTGGAAGGGGCCAGACAGGCTATCTAGCCCAACCCCCTGCTCAGTGCAGGGTCAGCCTAGAGCATCCCCGACAAGTGTCTGTCCAGCCGCTGCTTGAAGACTGCCAGGGAGGGGGAGCTCACCACCTCCCCAGGCAGCTGATTCCACTGTTGAACAACTCTGACTGTCAAAAAGTGTTTCCTAAGATCCAGCAGGTACCTTCTTCTCACCCTTAATTGAAACCCATTAATAGACATAGAAGATGCTATGGCTTACTTTCCTTTCCTGTACCACCTCTCCTGCCCCCTTTTCTGTTTGCACATGTATGAGAAAGGGGGAAGAATGAAAGCCGAATAACGTTTTTGTGTAAAAAAATCTGTGGTCTGGCTTAACATTTTATCTTACAAATTGCTCAGCTTCAAATAACCTTCAGACAACTCAGCCTCAAATAACCACACTAATGTGGCTTTTTCTTTGTAAGACCAGCAAGATATTTGATGAGCTCCGATACAGTGTGTTGCAGTAAGCAAGATCTTCCGTCCATTTCTGAAGAATGTTATTTTTTGTTTAGTTGAGGGATTTTTTTCCTTTTCATTAGGGAAAAAGAAGGAAGAGAACGAAAGAAAGACAAGCAGCAGCTGAAACGGAAGAAGGAATCGGATTTGCCCTCGGCGATACTTCAGACCAGCGGAGTGTCAGAGTTCACCAAAAAAAGAAGCAAGCTGGTCCTTCCAGCTCCTCAGGTAAAAGGCCTTCTTTTGTGTCGTCTGATGGTGGGTGGCCTGTGAAAATCAAACTGCTTTTGAGTCATAGCCAGTGTTCCCTCTAAGCTGAGTTAGTTTGAGCTTGCTCACAGTTTTTTAGCCCCCGGCTCACACATTTTTGTCTTAGCTCAGGAAGGACGGCTCCAGAGCAAACTAATGTATGCAGCAGCCAAATCTCTCGTTCACAACTTTAATGCCAGTAGCTCACAAAGTAGAATTTTTGCTCACAAGACCCCACAGCTTAGCAGCAGCATTGGTCATAGCAACTGCCGAGGATGACTTGTTGCCCACAGGCAGAAACAGTTTAGAAAACAAGTTAAAGGTGTGTAAATAAGCCCCCTCTTTCACTGAAGTTTCTTTTGATGCATATCGCCTGTTGGATTCAGCTTTACAGATCCCTCTGTGCGTTCCAGAATAGGAGCGCTACAGTCCTTCACAGCTGCATTATTTCCATGTAATCAGCCAAAAATACAAAAGCAACCTTGAAGAATGTAAACAGATTTTGTTTTTTTACAAAAGTATTTATAGTGATATTCAATGCTCCCTCTAAGCTGTGGAGTCTTGGGAGCAAAAATTCTACTTTGTGAGCTACTGACACTAAAGTTGTGAGTGAGCAATTTGGCTGCTGCATCCATTAGTTTGCTCCTGAGCTAAGGGAAAAATCTATGAGCTGGAGGCTAAAAAACTGAGCTAGCTCACACTCACTTAGCTTAGAGGGGACACTGGTGATATTATGTAAACTAATGAAAAGTTAACTGAGATAGACAAAATATTGATTCATCCTGATGATAAGCTTATTAAGAAACTGTATGTTATAATGTTAGAAATTAAAACCCCAGATCAGCCGGGAGGAGGGGGTCTTCCCTGCCCCCTTCAGCCGTCTCGCTGAGTTCCCAGCCCCTCCTAAACAGGAGAATGGGAGACCTCAGAAATTGGGCCGGCTACCAGGTTCTGTCACCGTGGTCAAGCCTGTGCCCCTGTGAGAGTTAGGGGGGACGGTCGCAGCGTCGTCTATCTCTCCGATGTCTCGGCCCCGACCCCCTCCTTCACTCTCCAGTTTCCTTCCTCCCCAGTCTCCCTTTCTCGCTCCCCTTTTATACCTGATCCCTCCCTCTCTTCCCTCTCACTGGACACGAGAGGTGTCCATCTCAGGTAGTCCCGCCTCCCTATAAAAGCGGAGACGCTCTGCCCGGGCGTGCTGGTTTGACCACGCCCGAAGCAGGAGGGGGGGTTTGCAAGGCCCAGCATTACTTGGATGGGGCGGCTCCGGCGGCGCCGTCGTCTCGGAGCCTGCCCTTCAGCCGCGCACCTGACGACGCGCCCTATGGGAAAGGGGTTGCGCCGTGCCCGGCACCCCTTTGCCTCGCTGTCTCCTGCCTCCGGCACCTCGGCCTCTTCGCCTGGTTTGGGTGTTCTAGGCAGGGTAAGCTCGGGGTTCGTGGCGCGTTGCTCGGGTGGGGTGGTGTTAGAGCGGCCCGGCTCGGCAGAACCAGGACAATAAACTAACATGCAAACTACAAAATGCATTATTACATTAGAAGACATATAAAGTACAAACGGGAAATAACCACTGTGCCACTGAACATGGTTACTGTCAGAAGTGATTATAGTAAAGTGCAAAAATAGTGGTGGTTGTACCAGCCAGGCGGAAGAAGTAAAGCCACTATTACCAGGTGTCTGCCTGCATTCTGTGTTGCCAGGGGTTACTCTGATACAGTCTCTCTGATATTGAGGTTGGGTTTTTAATCGTTGGGTCAATGCGGCCATTGAACTTCTCTTGTCTTTAAGATTTCAGATACAGAACTTGAGGAAGTGGTGAAAGTTGGCCAGGCGAGTGAGATTGCACGTCAGACAGCAGAGGAGTCTGGGATTATGAACTCCGCTTCCAGCACGCTCTTGTCCGAATACAACGTCACCAACAACAGCATCGCCCTCCGAACACCCAAAACGCCAGCGGCTCAGGATAGGATCCTGCAGGTAAGGCCACTTTAAAAACGTTAATATTAAACCGGCAGTTCTGTCCCTGCGAAGTAACTCTACTAAGGCTTGTTCAGTTTGACTAGGTAGGCAGCTGAAATAGGCTTAAAATCAAATTAATAAAATATATTTAATATCAAATTAAAATCAAATTGAGCTACTAAATCCCCAGTACTTGATATTATTATGCTAAGACATCAATCAATTTCCAGTGGTTAAAATACCGAATACTGCTCTTTGCTAAAGAGACAGTCTTGTCGAGGACACTTTGGCTTGGATTGAGTAGCCATTGAAAGGCACCTTCTGGACCAGAAATTAATATCAGTGAAATATCATTTGGCCTATGATTGGATCTTGGGAGGCCTCATTTATACTTTCGTTCTATGCCCGGTAATTCCACTCTGCGACAGTTCATTTCGGGGTCCACTTTGTATCTGCACTGTATTAATTCTATTATGTTGTGCGTAATGATGACTTTGACGTGGATTTCTTTGTGCTATACAGGAAGCCCAGAACTTGATGGCCCTTACGAATGTCGACACACCCTTGAAAGGCGGCCTCAATACCCCCCTCCACGAGAGTGACTTCTCCGGTGTGACGCCTCAGAGGCAAGTTGTTCAAACTCCGAACACCGTGCTCTCCACGCCTTTCAGGTAAGCCCGTCTACTTGGTTGGGAGGGGCTAAGTGACGCTTGACCATTCCGTGTCGTCATGAGCGGAATCTGCATGCAGGGATGAGTTGCCAGTCCCACTGCCCGGAGCTGCATCCTTCTGTCTCTCATTGCACGCCATTCCAGAGGCGTGCTCTGCAGGAGCCGCTTTGGGAGAGGGTGGTCTGCGCGGCCGCATCACCTGAAGCTGCCTTATACTGAGTCAGACCCCGGGTCCATCGAGGTCAGTAGTCATTATCGTCTACTCAGACTGGCAGCGGCTCTCCAGGGTCTCAGGCAGAGGTCTTTCACATCGCCCTGCTCCCTGGTCCTTTTAACTGGAGATGCTGGGGATCGCACCTGGGACCTTCTGCATGCAAAGCAGATGCCCCGCCACTGAGCCACGGCCCCTTCTCCCAGGCAGCGGGAGCTGGCCAAACTCCATTTGTGCCATCCTTTGGATGCTGGTCCATGGAAGTGGTATTTCATTGTCACTGGTACCGTTTTGATGTACCTCAGTCCATCTCCAAGTTATGGCTATGCAATGGGATCCCTTCCTCTTTTGCCATCCCCCCCCCTCCACTCTCTCACAGATATTTCCGCCATCTTTTGGTTAGCTTGAAGTGTTGGGTTAGCATTAATCTGGCCAGTGACTGCCGACCAGCAGAGATTAATCTCCAGTTTGCCAGCAAAACTGTTCTACATCAGTCCTAGCTTCATTGTGCAGCATGAAGGCAAAGCAAAGGGTGGGGGGACAGTGCACGCTTGGGGCAGGCAGGTGCTTCCGGTCTCCTAGCCATAATCAGGCAATTGGGCAGCGTGACTTCTAAACCAGGGCACCACTTTTCGAATGTGGGAATGTGCCATAAGTAAGATAAGTGAAGTTTGGGGCCTGCCCTTTTTTAGGGTGGATGGTTTTGTTTCTACTATTCACTATGCAACCCTGTTCGCCCCATAATCTCATGATATGTGTCAGGCTCTTCAGTGTTCCAGCAAGCTATACCCTCTCCTTCTGTGTTTCAGTAAGTGACGGAAGAGTGCTAACTGAAGCTTGTAATGTAGAGCTATGGTAGATGATCCAGTAGTAGTCATCTACCATTTGTTTTTATCAATCTCCCCCCCCCCCCCAAAGCACTTGGTAACAATTTAACTGTAACTGTTCTCTCACCCCACACCCATTTCCCCAGTATTTCTATACATTTTCATATTGTTAAAATAGATGTTAGGTAAGAAATGGGATCAACATTTTAGAACCCAGAGGGGCGCGAGCAGCTATTCTGACAACTGCATACATTAGATTGAAAGCTGTGTACAAGCTGTGTAGATTGAGAGCCAGTTTGGTGTAGTGGTTAAGAGCGGCAGACTCTGATCTGGAGAACCGGGTTTGATTCCCGGTTCGTAATTAAGGATAAGCAGTCGTAATTAGGGATGGGCACAAACCAAACCACGAACTGCAACTGTTCTCCCACCCTACAACTCATTTCCCCAGTATTTCTATACATTTTTATACTGTTAAAATAGATGTTAGATAAGAAACAGGCTCAAAATTTTAGAATGCAGAGGGGTGTGAGCAGCTATTCTGACAAGTGCATACATTAGATTGAAAGCTGTGTACAAGCTATGTAGATTGAGAGCCAGTTTGGTGTAGTGGTTAAGAGTGGCAGAACCGGGTTTGATTCCCCATTCCTCCACATGCACCCAGCTGGGTGACCTTGGGCCAGTCCCCGTTCTCTCAGAGCTGTTTTCTCAAGAACAGTTCTCTCAGAGCTCTCTCAGCCCCAGCTACCTCACAGGCTGTCTGTTATGGGGAGAGGAAGGGAAGGTGATTATAAGCTGCTCTGAAACTCTGAGTGAAGGGCAGGGTATACATCCAACTCTCCTACAAGATCTGTGTGGCATTGCTCTGATGCATCGTACTAGGACAGAGGCATCTTTTTTCTAGGACTCCCTCTCATGGATCCGAAGGACTGACTCCTCACGGTGGGATGACTCCAAAGCCCGTAGTGGGAGTCACGCCTGGTAGGACTCCACTTCGTGATAAATTAAATATAAATCCTGAAGAAGGAATGGTGGACTACAGCGATCCATCATATACGAAGCATATGGTGAGTAGCCCATGGTGCTGGCTTGCTTTTTTTATTTTATTTTTGTTATCCATTACGTGATATGGAACAGAGCACTCAAAAATTGAGAGGGATACTTCCCTAATCGAACAAATGGATTTGATTTTTGCTAGCACGACAGTGGCAAGGATAACAACACAAGAGAAGCCAATGTCGGATCAGGCCAATGGCCCATCCAGTCCAACATTCTGTCACACAGTGGCCAAAAATACCAGGTTTAACAGTGGGGCCAGGACACTAGAAACCCTCCCACTGTTGCCCCCCCCCCAAGTACCAAGAATACAGAGCATCCCTTGCCCCAGACGGGAAGTTCCTATCTATACCTTGTGGCTAATAGCCACTGATGGACCTCTGCTCCATATGCTTATCCAATTCATAAGAACGTAAGAGAAGCCAATGTTGGATCAGGCCAATGGTCCATCCAGTCCAACACTCTGTCACACAGTGGCCCAAAACACCAGGTGCCCTCAGGAGGTCCAGCAGTGGGGCCAGGACACTAGAAGCCCTTCCACTGTTGCCCCTCCTCAAGCTCCAAGAATACAGGGCATCACTTGCCCCAGACTGAGAGTTCCTATCTATACCTTGTGGCTGTTGTGGCTATACCTCTTGAAGCTGTCCATGCTTGCAGCAGATCTCTCTGCTGGCAGCGCGATAGAGGAGGGGTAGGGGTGAGTCATGAAGATCCACAGGAAAAGAGAGGCGAGGGGGTGCTTTAAAGTCCACAGAGATTCACCCATAGGAAGCAAGTCCCCAGCAAAACCATGAAGCTTCCCAGTCCTCTCCTGGCTTAGCAGTCTGCACAAGAAGGAGGGAGTCTAGTCTTTGGGCACGTTGCATTTGTTAGGCCAAGAGGAAAAAGAGCACTTGGTGGGGGCCGGGGCAGGGTTTGCGCCTCTTAGGGCCGTTTGCCCAAACCTCCTTACAGCGGCTCTTCTCTGGCCGTAGAAACATGCACACGATCGCTGTAAAACAGTGCTGATGGTCGTATTGTAACGAGGATAACAGTGAAGCCCATTTCACATGGCATATGGGAAAGGAAAGGAGATCCCAAGTGCATCTAGGGAGGCTGTTTTCAGACGCATTTGTGTCTGTAACAGACTTCATGGAACAGGAACTGTTCAGTCCCGAGGAGAGAGAGTCTCTCCTGCAATCCCACCCACACCTCTCATTCCTGAGTTTGGCTCCCAGCTGTAAATACAGGACCTCATAATGAACTTCCTGTCTTCACAGAGCAGAACTTTATTTTTTTTTTTAAAGGTGCCATTGGCTTTCTAAATTCTTTCCACTTCCTTGGAAATTTCTAGCTCTGTTCCTTAAGACTGTCCTGTTAGCTGTGGCACAAGCAGCATTTATATGAGTGTTCTCCTGAAAGCTTACGATCTGGTTGTAGGCACTTGCCTCTGGATTTTGACACGCAAACTTGGAAGTGTATTTTTGATGCGCTTGTCTTTGTGTCTTGCAAAATCTGATCTCCTTTATAAATTAAAAAGGGAATACCTGCCTTCCCATTTTACTTTCAAACAACACTGTTCTGTGCAAAAGAGAAAGTCCGTCTCTTCCTTTGCTTTCGGAACATGAATTGTTTTATATTGTTGACGAGATTACAGTCGCAATAGCCTTCACAAATACCAAGACATGCAGGGCTCTTGCCCTGAAGTGGTTGTGGTGTGTTTTATTGTTGGATGTGTTGTCAGAGAACATGTTGTGGAATCAGTCTTCTTAGGTAACCCTGTTATTGAAGAAGTTTGGCAGGAAAGGTGACATCCATCTTCTCCAAGGAAGTACATATGGAATGAAGAGTAGAAGCTGCCTTATGTCCAAAGTGCATTGCTTATTCAAGCCATCCTGGCCTTCTCTGGACAAACACTTGGCACAGACAAACATCCCTTGTGGGAGATGATCAGCAAAGTCTGTGTTTGCTCTTGTCCATATCTGTGGGTGGCTGCTGCAATCGTAATTAGGGATGGGCACAAACCGAACCATGAAGCAAAATTCATCACAACTTTTGCTGTTCGTGGTTTGTGAACGGAAGTTTGTGAGAGATCTACCGTCATGAACTTCCCTGAATTTTTAAAGCAGTGCATGGTGATTTGTGGACAGAGCAAAAAGCAGAGGTTTAAAGGGACTCCAAGTCCCCTTACACCCCTGCTTTCTGTTTCCTGTGAACGGGGCAAAAACAGCTGCACTTTAAAGGGACTGCAGAAGACAACCCGAAAAACCACTTTTTCTTGGTTGGTCCATGAGAATAGATTTTTTTGGGGGGGGAATGGTTCGACCATTTTGTAGCTCTTACCTATCTCGCTCTGTGAACTCAAAACTGACTCTACTGTAGGATGATAGTTGTGCATACGAGGGACTGTGCCTGGGATTGGTCCACAGCCAGTTAAAATGACTGAAAATGGAATTTTATTTTTTAACTTTATTCCGCTTTTTATTTAGGAAAATTAACACGTAGCTTGTGTTTAATTTAGTAAACTACTTCAACTTCCCACAGGAGAGAGAATCCCGTGAAAATCTGCGTCTAGGGCTCATGGGCCTTCCTGCTCCCAAGAATGACTTTGAAATTGTCCTACCAGAAAATGCAGAAAAGGAGCTTGAGGATCACAATGCCGACGATGCCTACATAGAAGACGCAGCAGATATGGATGCTCGCAAGCAGGTAGGAATAAGTTTTTGGATTCGTACAGAAGCCCAGTTCGTCATGCCATTAATTTGTCCTCCAGAGATGGGGAGGAGGTGGCAGATCTTCCCCAGGATTTCCACTGAGAATTTTCCATGTCTACAAAGTCCGTTTCCCCATAAAATTAGTAACAAGGATTAGATGCCATTATCCTCATCCAATATTAAGCCATCTCGGCGGTTTCGAAGTTGTTCTAACTAATATCTTTTTTTAGAAGATTTATCCCTAGACATCGTGTGAGAGGGTGCACGTACGTTCTGTTGATCTGTTAACTGAGATTGGGAAGGGAATACAACCGGAAAGGCATATAATAATGCTGATTCCAAAATCAAGCTGTGAATTTGCCTGACTGGCAGGGCAAGTCAAATCAGAAGCCAAGGCTGAAATTCTAATGATGCATCTCCTCTCCCAGTTAGAGGGATATAGTAACCACCCACCCATCTGATGTGGAACTTTCAAGTCGTGCCACACAGTGTCACCCAGCGGCCGCCATGTCAGAAGGTTAGGTTCGGTTGAAACAGTGGGCAGCCACACCCATGGAATATGACGCACAGTTCTTTGGGTGTGTTAAAACTACAGTAAAATCCTGTGAAGAAGTCTCCTCCTCTCAGGCCATCGATCCCAGTGCGCTGAGGCTAAAGTCACTCTGCATAGGATTGTACTGTTCGTCTGGCTACGATTTTCAGTGCCCTTTCCCCCTTAAATTAACCAGTGTAAAGGGAATATATGCTGTATTGTCTTTAAAGTGTTATTCCGATTTTTGAAAATGCCACATGAGCTTCCGATTATGAACATTAAACCACACTGAATTTTGTTCTTTCCTTTTGTTGTTGTTGTTTTGGTTTGTTGGTTTGTTTTTTGTTTTGACTGAATTTTGTTCTTTTCCTAATCAGATAATTCAGTTCAATGTTTATTGCTGCTGGGACGTCAAATTACCACGGGGTACTTTGTCTACTAAAAATAAGTCGAAACAAATCCGTTAGATCACGCACTGTTGAGAGGGCCAGAAAATTTTCTGATCCATGTTTTTTTCTGGGAAACCCATCTCAATGGGCATCTTTTCCTCACGGTAACTTAGCTAGAATGGATTTGAGGCTGTGATTTGCGGTGTAGGAATGGTTGGTCAGGGACTGTATTATTGCACCCCAGCAAAATATCTGCCCTCAGAACTGTCTTCCTCTGGAATGGAAGGTTCCGTTTGCTCAACAGTCACCTTCGTCTTAGAAGAGCTTTCTGTGTTGTTTTGAACCAAATACCTTAAATGCCCTTCCAGGCTATCCGAGAAGCCGAGCGCATCAAGGCCCTCAAGCAGATGCACAAAGCGGTCCAGAAAGACATGCCCAGACCCTCCGAAGTAAGCTTATTTCATTTATTTATTTAGAATATTCTTTGCAGCCTGTTCAGCTCAATGCTATTTATTATAAAGCACATTCAAGAAGATTTCCCTGAAATAATTTAAAAAAAAACTTGAAAGCAAAATAGATCTTGCTGTTAAGGTAAGTGGGGCAGGTATTATAAATTGTGGGACAGAAATCAGCTGATGGAAGGCCGGGGTCAGAGGCGGCACCTCAGTTAATGCAGTGTGGAGGAATGTTCCCTCTAAGCTCTGGAGTCTCGTGAGCAAATATCCTACTCTGTGAGTTACCGGCATTAAAGTTGTGAGCGAGCCGTTTGGCTGCTGCATCAGTTAGTGTGCTCTGGAGCCCTCCTTCCCGAGCGAAGACAAGAGTGTGTGAGCCGGAGGCTAGAAAACTGTGAGCTCGCTCATACTCACTCAGCTTGTGTCAGTCACAAGCTCTGGCACAGCTGTCCTTGAAAAAGAGCAGTTTGTGTCAGAGCTCTCTCAGCCCCACCCACCTCACAGGGTGTCTGTTGTGGGGAGGGGAAGGGAAAGGAGTTTGTAAGCCGCTCTGAGACTCCGAGTGAAGGGCGGGGCATAAATCCAATCTCTTCTTCTTGTTGTTGTTCTTCTTTGAGGGAACACTGGTGTGGAGGTGGCAGTGGCATTTATGGCACCCAAATTGGCAGGCGGGTGGGAGATGCAGGTCGAGGTGTTGACTCACCACCCCTTTCTGTAATCTCTGAGCAGGCCTTCAGGAGAGCGAATGTTACGTGGTGGCTGGAGTGTGCAGGCCCAGGTTGAAATCCCCACCAGGCATAAAGCTCACTAGTCATCCTTGCGCCAGTCATCCTTTCTCACTCTCACTTACGTCACAAGGGCTGTTGTGAGCCAAAATGGGGAGAAAAGCCATGTATGCCCTCCTGCACTCGTTGGAGGAAAGGTAGAATCAAAATGTATAGGCAGGAAAACTCATTATTGGTAAGTGCGATAGTATAGCTGTAACGGAAAGCTTAATTTCAGAGCAAAGTTTACACGCATGGGCAGCTGTTTGGAAGGTAGCCTGCAGCTGAGTGGTCATGTGACCAGAGAGGGAGTGTGTGTGTGACGTAATGGTTTTTGGAATCTTCAGTATTGAACGAGAGGGAGGAAAAAAGGGTTGAAAAGGGTGGTTAACGGCTGACTGCTGACCAGAAGAGGAAGGGGAGAAAGGGTGTTCTCGGATGGAAGAGAGAGCGTGGACCCTGTGAGCTGCTGAGGAGTTTAATGAGAGAAACTCCTGGTGTATAACTCAGACATAGTGTTCCTCTATAAGAAAGCCTGTTGGGGAAGGTTATACAGTTCTAGCTAGGGACCAACTGCAAGTGAAGCGGTTTAAGGAGACGCTAGGCTGTGGGTGAGCCTTCGATAGAACAGAGATATAAAAGATGGAGTGTGCAGGAAGGGTGTGGTCTGGAAGAAAACTAAAAGACCGAAGAGCAGTCCAAAGTTAAATAAAAAATGGGGGGGAACAAAATAAAGCCTGAAAAACTCATTGACTCCCTGTATATAACACCCTGACCCCCGGTGTTATTTTAAATAAGCTTGTATTTGTGTTTAAAGTGGAGGGTGTCATAAACCTCTGTGTCGAAGAGGGCGAACTGGCGGTAGCGTGCTGAGAGCCTCCTGCAGTTACAGTAGCCAAGTGAAATGTGCTGAGAGCCCCCTGCAGTTACAGTAGCCAAGTGAAACGTATGAAGGCAGTAAAACGCTTCTTTATATTTATGTGGGCTTACGGGTATCCATCATGTGCTCCTGGGTGCATACTGAATCAACTATAAATAACTCTCGACTGTGTCTTGTTGCAGAGCCTGCTTTTTAAGCATGGACCCTTTTTTGCACGCGCTTCCTGTTTTTGTTTTAGGTCAACGAAACAATCCTGAGGCCCCTGAACGTGGAGCCCCCTCTGACCGATTTACAGAAGAGCGAAGAGCTGATTAAGAAGGAGATGATCACCATGCTCCACTATGACCTCATCCATCACCCTTACGGGGAGCTGCCCGGGGTCAAAAAGGGGAAAGCCCCGGGATTTGGCACCAGTAGCACAGAGCACATCATGTACCTGGAACACAATTCTTACGACAAGTTCTCGAAGGAAGATATCAAGAAGGTACGTTATTTAAAAATGAATGTTTTGGTCGAAGCCAGAGAGCTCCGTCTGTTCCTGCATCCCTCCCGGCCTACTACCAAACGCCTCCTTGCCTTACTTCTGAGATTCCTGGGGGCAGGTAGCTCTCTTGCTGTCGCCCTCCAGCTTCTAGTGTTTAGAGAGAGAGTCACAATAGAGGGAGGTGCCTCCCTTTAGCCATCGTGGGCGAAAGCTGTGTCTTCCATGGATTTGTCTGCTCCCTGGCTAAGGCCATTTAGGACACTGGCCATTCTCTCACCATTACAAATCATGTTGTGCAAAGAGGCACTTCCCATTCGTGTCCTGGGTGTATTTCTTCATCATTCGTCTGTTCCACCTTTGGCACAGAGTAGCATAGCACTAGAGGGCCGTGGTAGCTCAGAGGTTAAGATGCTGAAGCTGTCTGTAGTTCAGCAGTTCAAGAACCGAGTGTTTTGTGAGCTCCCGTCTCTGGCCCCAGCT